TTGGGTACTTTGTATTTTGCGTCCGGAATCCGTCTGTGGGGGGACACGCCCGACCTAACAATAGGCGCCAAAGAGGCTGCCAACACATGAAAGAAAATCCAGGGTACCACTCAACAGCCTGATGAGTTCGCTGGGTATTGATCAGGTTGGGGCCTCGGGGCCTCTTGGAGCCATATGGTGTTCCACGAAAGCCTCGGGAGAACCTAAGAAGAACCAGGAGAGGAGCACGACGGGACAATGAAAGCAAGAACTCCCCCAAGACGGCCGAGGACAGCCCCAAGAGGGCTCGAACACGGCCCGAGAGGGGCCAATGACAGCCAAAAGAGCGCTCAAGATGGCTCAAGAGGCCTCCACGACAGCCTCAAATGCCTCCCCAGACGGCCGACAGGGGGTCAGTACGGCCCAAGACGGCCCCACTGGAGCCCGATTCAGCCCCAAGACAACCTACAGGTAGGTCTGCCACGCCATATCAGAGCCCTGACAAGAATGCGTAGCACCCCGCAAACGCGGACAAGAGTGGAGGGGCAGCGGCGACGTCTGCAGTCTGCGAGGATCTGAAGAAGCCCGCCGCAGCCGCTGTATCTTACACATTGTACAACGAGCCCACCGCAGGCGCCGACCTTTCGTTGAAGCAAGACAATGTGGGTGGGTCGCGGAGTGGTCGCGGGTGGGTCGCGGGTGGGTCGCGCGCCCGGCGGTGGGTGGGGTCGCGGCTGGGTCGCGGGTGGGTCGCGGGCCGGGTCGCGGGCCCGGTCGCGGGCCGGTGCGCGGGTGGGTCGCAGGGTGGGTCGCGGGCGGATCGCGGCTGGGTCGCGGTTGAGTCGCAGGCCGGGCCTCGAGGGGGACGACGCCAAATGACAACAACAGCTACAACAACACCACCACCAACAACAACAACAAACAATAATAACAACAACAACAACAAACAACAACAACAACAACAACAACAACAACAACAACAACAACAACAACAATCATTTTACCCGAACGCTCAGTGTTCTCACCAGTGCCAGGGTTTTCATGCGACGCGAGACAATACCCCCACTTCGTGGGGGGGCAGTTCAAGCTCTACCAAATATCCAAACGACTCTTCGCGACCACCCAAACCCAGCTTCCCGCCCTATGACGTTGGGACACTTCACTTCGTGGCGTGCGGACGACCGTGGCTACTACACTGGCGTGGGGTACACACCCACAGAACTTGGTCACTTATTCGGGGCGCGCGTGTGCCCAGCATCCTGCAATTGTGACATACAATACATGACACAGACAGACAGAGAGAGAGACAGAGAGCAGACAGAGAGAGAGACAGAGAGAGCGGAGTTGGTCACATTTTTGGGGCAAGTTCCTGAGATCGTCGTGTTTTTTGTTGGTCTTGCGCGCGCGAATGTCCACTTTACTTTTTTTTGCAAGGGAGTATTGAAATTTGATTATGTTAGAACAAGAAAAAGTAGCTCGCGCGAGCTCATGTAACATAAATGTTGAAAAACCATTGGTTTTGTGGGAGTCGGACAGCGCGCGCGGGATGAAATTTGGACATTTTTTTTTGAAAAACCATTGGGTTTTTGATGTTTTTATGTTGAAATCGTTACGAAACCTAAGGTTCTGGAAGGATTTCGTCTTGCGCGCGCGAATGTCCACTTTACCTTATTTTTTGCAAGGGATTATTGAAATTTGATTATGTTAGAACAAGAAAAAGTAGCTCGCGCGAGCTCATGTAACATAAATGTTGAAAAACCATTGGTTTTGTGGGATTCGGACAGCGCGCGCGGAAGGACATTTTGACAATTTTTTCTTAAAAAACCATTGGGTTTTTGATGTTTTTATGTTAAAATCGCTTACGAAACCTAAGGTTTTGGAAGGATTTCGTCTTGCGCGCACGAATGTCCACTTTACCTTATTTTTTGCAAGGGATTCTTGCAATTTGATCAAGTAAGAACAAGAATTTTCATTTTCTATTGTTTTTTGCAAGGGAAAACGAGCGTCAACAAAAAACCGGATCCGGAGCTCATCCACTTTTCTGAAGCTTTCGCGAAAAAATGATGAAAATGTAGCTGCGGCCTAGGCGCGGCGCAGAGGTCGCGCACCAGGGGTCCCAACAATAATAATTCTTTAGAAGGAATAATGTTCAACAACAACAACATCAACAACACCAACACCAACAACACCACCACCACCACCAACAACAACAACAACAGCACCACCACCACCACCGACAACAACAACAACAACAACAACAACAGCAACAACAACAACAACAACAACCACAACAACAATTTCAACAGCAACAACAGTAACACCAGCAGCAACAACACCACCAACAACAACAATAAATTTACAACTGTTCGCCCTCATCTGCTCTAGTGTCCAATACCGCGTATTTCCCAAACCCTCAATACCCGCCCCCTTCGTCTTCGATCGAACCACTTTTGGGGCTTTCTTCCCTGCAGGCTGGGCCCCGGCAAGCGGCGGGGCGGCCGCGGACCATCGGCCTTGCCACCGGCAGCGCTCATCGGCGGGGCGGCCGCGGACCGTCGACCCGACCCCAAGAGGGACGGACAGGGGACCGACCACGAATACGACGACGACGACGACGACGACGAGCGAAAGCGAGAGCGAGAGCGAGAGAGAGAACGACAGCAGGGCCATGAAGGACACGAAGTAGGCCACGAAGGGCGACAGCGGGGACACGAAGGGAATGCGTATGGGGCCGCGAAGAGCGCGAACGAGCGGGGGCCACGAAGGGCAGATAATGCGGGGCCACGGAAGACAACGATGGGGCCACTGAGGATAGCAACTGGGCCACGTAGGACAGTGAGGGGGCCACAAACGGCGACAGCGGGGCCACGAAGGGCATGCACATGGGGCCACAACGGGCGCGGTTCCTGGGTGCCTGGGTGTCGGGAGCGCGGCGCTCGAGCAAATTGCAGGAAATTCCAACGCAAGGGCGCTATTCTTAGTCAATTGCAAGCGAGTCTCCAGCGAGAGCGCGACTCCAGAGCGCCGGCAGAGCGATTCCTGAATAAATGGTAAGGAAGTCCCCGGCGAGAGCGCGATTCCTGAATAACATGCGAGGAAGTCTCGGGCGGGAGCGGGGGTCCTGGCTAAATTGTGAGGAAGTCCAAGACGGGAGCCGTTGTTGTTGTTGCAACCCGGGGGCCGGGGGCCTAGTTTGAGCGTCAAGACTTCCCTGTCAACAAACAGGGGGCGAGCGTCGAGGGACACACTTTGATTGAGAAAACACCGTATGCACCGGTTGGGGGGGGTCAACCATTATTATTTTCAGGGATGAGAGTTCAACAACATTTTAAGACTGTTCGCGCTTATCTGCTCGAGTCATTCCACGCGTATTTCCCAAACCCTCAATACCCGCCGTCTTCGTCTTCGATCGTACCCCTGTTGGTGGTAGTGGTATATTAAAGCGGCGGGGCGGCCGTGGACCGTCGGCTTGGCCAGCGGAAGCGCTGATTGGCGCCAGCCCGACCCCAAGAGGGACGGACAGGCGACCGACCACGACGACGACGACGACGACGACGACGACGACGATGGCGACGGCGACGGCGACGGCGACGGCGACGGCGACGGCGACGACGACGACGAGCGAAAGCGAAAGCGAGAGCAACAGCGGGGCCACGGCGGGCAGGAAGGGGGCCACGAACGCCGACAGCGGGCCACGACGGGCATGCGCGTGGGACCACGACAAGCAGATAATGCGGGGCCACAGAGGGCAACGAAGGGGCCACTGAGGGTAGCAACGGGGCCACGTAGGACAGCGAGAAGGCAACAAAGGGCGACAGCAAGGCCACGAATTGCATGCATATGGGGCCACGACGGGCGCGAACGAGCGGGGGCCACGAAGGGCATACGTATTTTGGGCCGCAGAGGGCAAGGACGGGGCCACTGAGGGCAGCAACGGGGCCACGAAGGGCAGCGACGGGGCCACGAAGGGCGACAGCGGGGCCACGAAGCGCATGCATATGGGGCCACGACGGGCGCGAACGAGCGGAGCAACGAAGGGCATACATATATGGGGCCACGCAGGGCAACGAGGGGGCCACGAAGGACTGCAACGCGGAGAGCGTGACTGCAGAGCGCCGACAGAGCCATTCCTGAATCAAGTGTGAGGAAGTCCTAGGTGAGAGCGCGCTTCCTGAGTAAAATGCGTGGAAGTGTCAGGCGAGAGCGGGGGTCTTGGCTAAATTGCGAGGAAATCTCCAGCGGGAGCCGTTGTTGCTGGAACCCGGGGGCCAGGGGCACAGTTTGAGCCTAGCAACTTTCCCTGATGAAAATGCGGGTGCGAGCCCCAGGGGTAGCACTTGAATTGAAAAAACAACGGTCACAGGAGGGGGGATCGACAATAATTATTCTTCATTGATGAAGATTCAACGACAACAACCACCACCACCACAACAACAAGAATTCGCATCTCGGAGTCACACGACAGCCACGCACCCAGGGACAGTAAATGATCGTTCGGCCCCCTCACTGAGCCCCGACAAGAATACAGACAAGACATCAAATATGGTACGGCCTCCTGACTGCTCGAATCGGGCAAACATGAAACAAGTCATAAAACGGGGAATCAGTACTGGATGAGGGCCGCACATAATGCTAGACTGGTACGGGGGCGGGACTCGCCGCAGGCAGCTGGATACACCATCTCGGACAGCTGGCACGTGGGCGGCTTCCAAAGCTCCACCATGCGGTTGAGCATGTCCCGGGCCGCTTGCTGGTCCCACCAGCCATGGCAACCAATGTTGTTCTGGTCCGTCATGATGTGCTGGCCGTTGGGCCGCCTGTGCAGCTCGCTGGCGACGCGCTTGCCGAAGCAGACCAGGAACCGCTGCTCCGCCGTCGGAGACATCTCCGAGGCCATGCCGCCAGGCTTGTCGATAAAGCTGTGGTACGGGAACTTGGCCTTCCACTCCTGGATGTCCTTCCGCCAACCGTCGTCGTTTGCCTGCCTCTTCTCGAACGAATGGAAGAGGGCCTGCATGATCCTCCATTTGTCCTTCGTGCCTTCAAAGGAAGCCCATGGAATCCAGTCCTTGACAGCGTCATTGAATTCAAGCTTTGCGTTGCAAGTCTTGGCGTTCATCTGGTTTCCGCCACAGAATGTCTGGTCGATTGTGACAAGATCCTTATGGACCATTCCGTCCTTCTTCTCCTCCAACCACTTGGCCAACCGCTTGACGTCCTCGCGGAACTGGCCGAAGTAGGTGTGATGTTTCTCTTCGGTCTTGCGCCAGACCTCGAGATTCTGGCTGCACAGCAAGGGCACATACTTGTAGCGCTGGTACAATTCTGCAACGGCCTGGTCCAGGTTCTCCTCGTGGTCCACGATCGACTTCACAAGGCTCGCCGCCAACTCCTGCTTGGCGATCTCCCAGAAAGTGCCCTCTGGGATCCAGCGCACGCACACGTAGAAAGTGAATATCTCCTTGGCCATCTTGTCGACGTTGTTCGTCTCCAGCTCTTTCGAGATGTCGTTCAGAATAGCGGACTCAAGCTGGTTCGAGCTGGCCATGCCCTCGCCCTCCTCCTGCTCGGCATACTGCCCACCGTGCATGGCCCGCAAGCCGTCCTTGTCGCAGAACCTGTTCACCGTGTGGCGTGGCGAGCCGCCGGCCTCAGCCAGTGCTCCGTGCCTGCTGACGCCAGCGGCACGCGACGCGGCGGCACTGACGTTGGCAGCGAGCGCGGTGGACACCTCTGACTCCGCGTCCACGTCGGCCGTGTCGGTGGCTACAGACCCAGAGCCGGCAGCCCCTCGTTCCAGGAGCACCTCCGTGCCGCTGATGCAGTCCTTCGGGCGCGTCTCGGACGCCGAGCACATGCAGATGGGCTTGGGGCCGAAGTCCGTGGACTCCATACACTGGTGCCCATGCGTGCTAGTTGACCACCGGCCATACAGCGCCGAATTCTTGCACTTCTTCTGGCAATCCTCTCCCGCGTCTTTCTCGAGGACCCTGATCCTCTCCTTGTACTCCTCGATGAGCTTCTTATCGGCGCAGCCGAGCAGCGTGAATGGCACGACGCACAGGGCGGCGCCCCACAGTAGCTGATACACCATGATGTATTTAGCGAGCAAACGGGCCTCGTGATGAGGCAGGCGTTATTTGTTAAATGATGCTTGAGCGCAAAACTATATGCACACATGCCTTCGTACACGTCGGAGCCTCCCGAATCGCGGGGGGTTGGGGCCGAGGGGCTGCTGCCGACGACCACTGAAGGCTTTATACGAGATTGGCGCCGGTCGATGACCGATCGGAAAATATACGTAGCACCCCGCAGTTGCGGATAAGAAAGACGGGGAGGCGGGGACGTCGGCAGCCTGCAAAAATCTGAAAACCCCGCCGATGTTTTTCGTTCAAACAATGTGGGTGAATCGCGGGGTGGGTCACGGGTGGGTCGCGGGTGGGTCGCGGGCTGGATCGCAAAGAATCGCGACTGGGTCCGGGGTGGGTCGCGATTGGGTCGCCCGCGGGTCGCGGGGTGGATCGCGGGTGGGTCGCGGGTGGGTCGCGGGTCGAATCGCGGGGGGGACGACGGCAACAAACAACAATTAACAACAACAACCAAACAAACAATCCGCACCGCAGAACCTCGATTCAACCAGAAACCCAGGGACAGAGAATAACCGTTCGGTCCCCTCACTCGGATATATATATATATATATATATATATATATATGCACTAGAAACATCGCGCGCGCTTCGCGCGCGCTCAGGTTCTAGCAGCCCCCAGGCCTTGACGAATTCACTGCTCCACTGAAGTAATGGACCACAATCCACGCATGCCAACCCGCATTCCGAAAGGCTTCCGGGGAAATTGTTGCGTAGGGGGGCGGAGGCCGGATGAATTCGGCTCCCAGAAGGCCTTCTGGCAGCATGGGTTGGGGGGGCGTCTTGGGGAGCCTGTTGGGGCGTGCAGCCGTCGTCGTCGTAATGTCGTCGTCGCCTCTTGGGGCGCGCCGTCGTCGTCGTCGTCGTCGTCGTCGTCGTCGTCGTCGTCGTCGTCGTCGTCGTCGTCGTCGTCGTCGTCGTCGTCGTCGTCGTCGTCGTCGTCTTCGTCGTTTCGTAGTCGTCGTCGTCGCCGTCGTCGGTCCAAGAGGGCACTTTGCGCGAAACGATCTGCGGAGGGCCGCGAGAGGGCGATCAGTCATGTTCCCAGTCAACTTCCCAGACAGCTCTCCTGTAGCATGATGGTACTTCGAAGCCTCCGGAGACTCGCGGGCCCATGATGAAACATGTCCGCGGAAGGCTTTCTGGGGACATGGTTTGTTCGGGTGTGTTGGGGGGCCTCTTGGGCGCTCCCTGGGGGCCCCTTGGGGGCCTCTGGGAACTCGCGGGCCCATGATGAACCCATGTCCCTGGAAGGCTTTCTGGAGACATGATTTCTTGGGGTGTGTTGGGGGCCTTTTGGGCGTTCCCTGGGAGCCCCTTGTGGGTCTCTTGGGGCTTCCTGGGGACCTCTCGGGCGCCTCACGGGGCTTCGTGGGAGCCTCTTGGTAGCCTCTGGGGGCCTACTGGCGGCCTCTAGGGCCAGAGACCTCGAAGTATCGGTTGGCGGTCCCCCTCTGGGCCTCCTCTTGGGAGCTCTTGGGGCACACTCGGGTTGTCTGGGGAGCCTCCTGGGCCGTCTTGGGGCCCTCTTCGGGGCCTCGTGGGCCGTCTTGGAGCGATCTGAAGGGCCTCCGAGGCCGTGGAAAGCGAGAACGCCAACATCCTTCAAACACCATGGGAAAATGGGCGAATATTGCCTCCCAGGGCCCTCTTGGGGAGCCTCTCGAGTCCGTCCTTGAGCGTATTGGAGTCCTTGTCGGCCGTCTTGAGGGCATCTTGGGCGTCTTCGGGGCCTCTTGGGAGCGTCTTGGGCCCTCTCGGGACCTCCATTAGCATGTCGTGGCCTGCTTCGGGCCGGGCCCGGGCCGCCTCGGGACCCCTCTGGGCCTTCTCTTGGGGCACACTTGGGTTGTCTGGGGAGCCTCCTGGGCCGTCTTTGGGCGCTCTTCGGGGCCTCGTGGGCCGTGAGGCCTCCAAGGCCGTGAGGGAGCGCTGGGAAGCGGGAAAAGCGAGAACGCCAACATCCCAAACACTCAGCAAATGAGTGAATCTTGCCTCCCAGGGCCTTGAAGAGCCTCTGGAGTCTGTCCTGGAGCGCGTTGGAGTCCTCGTCGGCTGTCTTGAGGGCATCTTGAGCGTCTTGGGGGCCTCTTGGGAGCGTCTTGGGCCCTCACGGGATCCCCTTAGCATGTCGTAGCCTGTTTCGGGGCGGGCCCGGGCGGCCTGGGGAGCTCTGGACCCCCCCCAACAACCCCTGGCGGGCACCGATGGGGGAACACCAGCGGCCCGCCCCCCCCCCCCCGGGCCTACTCCGAGATAGAGCTAATCCCGGGAAGCTTTCCCGGAGCATTATTTGTTCGGCTCTCCTAAGAGGGGCCCCTTTTTGGCCTCGTCGGCAAGCCTATTGGAAACATGGTTGGGGCGGTGGGCGGAAGCCCAAAGAATCATGTTCCCAGAAAGCTGTCTGGGAAATGCGACGTACCGAGGTGTCTTGGGGGCCCGCAGGGGGCTTCCCTGGGAGCCCTTTGGGCTTCCGGGGGACCTCTTGGGAGCCTCACAGGGCTTCTTGGGAGCCATGATGGCCTCAGGGGGCGTCCTAGGAGCCTCTCAGGCCGGAGACCCTGAAATGTCGCGCTGTTCGGGCCCTCTTGGGTCGCTCTTGGGGCTCCCTTGGGGCGCTGTCGAGGCCCTCTTGAACTATCTGGGGAGCCTCCTGGGCCGTCTCTGGGCTTTCTTGGGAGCCCCTTCGGCCGTCTTGGAGCGATCTGAAGGGCCTCTGACGCCGTCCGGGACCCTAGGCGGTCCATTGCTATGCACCGGTATGTTTTGGAGGTCTTTTGAGGGCCGTTTGGGTTGCCCTTGGGGCCTCTTTTGGGGCCTCTTTGAAGCCTCTTTGGGGCCTCGTGGGGCATATACGGGGCCTCTGGGGGGCCTCTTGGGCTCTGTTGGGGGCCTCTTGGGGTCTCCTGGAAGCCTTTTGGGGCGGAAGGCTCGAATTGGCGGTTCGTGTTCCACCTCTTGAGCCCCTCTTGGGGCCGTCTTGGGGCCCTCTTTGGCGATCTTGGGCGCCTCGTAGATCGGTATGTATGTCGCATTATGTATGTATGTATGTATGTATGTATGTATCTATCTAAGTCTGGATGCATGTACGTATGTCGGAGGTTGGGGGGTGAGATCGAAGTGGAACGGAGAGCCCCCCTACCGGGAAATCGATTTCGGTTTCCTGTTCGTGCGTGCCGTGCGGGCGAGGCGAAGCTGCCTGGGCGGGCGAGAGAAAGTCTCCTGTGGCTGAGGCGCGGCCGGAGCAAAAGAACCTTGACCGGGCGGCCGGTGCCGCGCGGTGTCCCGCCGGTGTCCCGCTGGTGTCCCTTCGGTGTCCCATCGGTGTCCCGATGATGACGTGGATGATTATGAAGATGATGATGATGATGATGATGATGATGATGATGATGATGATGATGATGATGATGATGATGATGATGATGATGATGATGGTAATGATGATGATGGTAATGATGATGATGATGATGATGATGATGATGATGGCGATGGCGATGATGATGATGATGATGATGATGATGATGATGATGATGATGATGATGATGTTGGTGTCGTTGTTGATGATGATGATGATCATGATCATGATGATGATGATGATGATGACGTCGATTGTGAGATCGATTGTGATATCGATAGTGAGACCGAATGTGCGATCAATTGTGCGATGCTGATGGTGATGATGGCCATGATGGTGATGATGATTGTGATGATGACGACGACGTTGATGATGATGATGATGATGATGATGATGATGATGATGATGACGATGATGATGATGATGATGTTAATGGTAATGTCAATGATGATGATGATGACGACGTCGATAGTGATATGGATTGTGAGATCGGTAGAGAGACCGAATGAGACAGCGAATGAGGTTGGCAGGTTGGGCAGGTTCCCAGGGGAAGGGTGACGTAAACAACTCGACACCAACGCCCCCAAGAGCGAGCGGCAACGCAACTATCTCAACTGGCATTGCCACAACAACATTCACCACTGTTGCCCATTGCTGGGCCCCCCCAACCTCCTTATCACCCGCAGGGTGGTCGTATAGGTATATGTGTATGGATCGAATGGCCTTCGGCACATCCCACCACTATGCCAGGGTTGTGGGTCAGAGTTCTCAGGGATGTTTCTTGGGGTCTGTTCGGAGCGCCTTCGGGGGCCTCTTGTCAAAGAGATTCGCTAGCGTGACTTGTTCAACGCGGGGTCCCTGGAATAGGCCCGAAGTCCGAAGAGCTTCCAAGGGCCCAGTGTTTCGTCGTAAATGCTTGACGGTCCCGGGCCCCGTTTCGGGCCTCAGGAAGCGAAGAATGATCCAGAAGCTTCGGGAGCGGGAAGAGTACCTGAGGCCGTCTGGTCAGGGGGCTGTTGGGGGGCCTCTAGGGAGCTTCTTGGGAGCGTTTTGGGGGCCTCTTGGGGCCTCTTGGGGCCTCCTTGGGACCTCTGGGGGCGGAGGGGTTGAAATGTTCGTAGGGCATCCTCTCTGGGCCCCTGCTTGGGACCGTCCTGGGTCCCTCTTGGGCCGTCTTGGGGGCCTCTTGGGCTAGCCAGGGGCCCTTTGGGGCTGTCTTGGAACCCTACTGGGCTTTCTTGGGGCGATCCTGGCGGCCTCTCAGGCCGTCTTCGTTCCCCTGGAAGGTCCAGGGGCGAATCCCTCAAAAATGTAATTACGTTTTCCGAAGGGAGCGGGACCACTTTTGCCTCTTGGGGCCCTCTTGGGAAGGCTCTTGGGGCCCTCTTTGGCTGTCTCGGGGGCTTCCGGGAGCCCTCTTGGAGCCATCGTCGGCGTCTTCAAGCTACGTTTCGAGGCTTGTGCGCCCTCTTGATATGTTTGGCGGCCTCCGACGCCCTTGGGAGCCGTCCCGGGGGCGCCCCGGAAGCCCCGGTACCCCCATGCGCGCTCGAGGTCGCGGTCCCGGGCCCCCGGTCCTCGTCCCCCGGGATATATATATATATATATATATACACACACATAAGACTGCAGTGTCGCTTCGCGCCATGCACCTTGGTTCTTGAAATTTGGTATGCAGGCGGAATGACAGCAAGGTCAAGCCGATAATGTAGCGATAACTCCTGATTGCCTTTTCTGGAGTTGCCGCTATAATGATGCTAATCGTTATCCTGGCTCCATGCTTCTTGTTCCTTATTTTCGCCATACCCTGCGCATTCTCCCCATCCTCCTCAGCTCTTTTTTGCGGAGGCTCCTCCTTGGAGAGCCTCTAGGGGCCTCACAAAAGTTGTTTCAGGCTTTCTTAACGCCTTCTGGAGGCCTCCTGGGCGTATTCTGGGGGCCTCTGGGGGCTTCCTCGGGCCACCCTGCCTCCAACCGCCGTCTCCCTGAACAACCGAAACACGATTTGGAATTCTTCGGAGGGTGTCTGTGGGCCATCTTGGGCCGCCATGGGGCTCTCTGAGGGCCATCTTGGACCCGTGTTGTGCCGTTTTGGGGCTCTCTTGGACTGCCTGGAAGCCCTTTCGGATGGTTGTGGGGCGATTTGGGAGCCTCCCAGGCGGCTTCGGACGCCCAGAAGACCGCCGTCTTGGAGCGTCGGGAAGCCGAAAAGAGGAGAACCCCAACATTCACCAATAACCCGCAGAAAAATCAATCATTGTTGCCTCGGGGGGCCTTCTTGGGAGTGCTCTTGGAGGCCTCTTTGGGGCCGTCCTGGAGGCCTCTTGGGCCATCTTGAGGTCACGTCGGTCACTCTTGGAGCGCTCTTGTGCTGTCTTGGGGGTCTCTGGGACGTCTCCGATGATCCCCCTGATCGCCCTAAGTGTGCTGGGAAGGCTTAGCAAAACGCCTTGCGAGGCCCGGTGGCCGCTTCGAGCCCCGTCCGGAGGGCCCTCTGGGGGCCGCACACAAGTTGTTTCAGGCTTTCTTAAGGCCTTCTTCTGTAGGCCCCCTGGGCGTATTCTGGGGGCCTCTGGGGGCTTCCTCGGGCCACCCTGCCTCCAACCGCCGTCTCCCTGAACGACCGGGTCACGATTCCGAATGCTTCGGAGGGTGTCTTTGGGCCATCTTGGGCCGCCATGGGGCTCTCTGAGGGCCATCTTGGACCCGTGTTGTGCCGTTTTGGGGCTCTCTTGGTGTGCCTGAAGCCCTTTCGGATGGTTGTGGGGCGATTTTGGAGCCTCCCAGGCGGCTTCGGACGCCCAGAAGACCGCCGTCTTGGAGCGTCGGGAAGCCGAAAAGAGGAGTTTTTGGGCCGCCGCGCCGGAGGGCCAGCGGCGGCCTCACAATTCACCCAGGGCTGCCCCTCCCGGGCCGTCCGCGGGGGCCTCGCCGAGGGCGGCCCCCCCGCGGGAGCCAAAACTGCGCTCAGGCGCAGGCCGCCGCGCCCCGCTCGGCACTCCGCGAGCGGCCCCGCCTGCCATGGAGGAAGGTCGCTGGCGGTTCACGCGCTACCGGAGCGTGCTGGCCTCCGCAGCGTGGTGGGCGCCTGCCACTTCGCGCCACGATCTGGGCGCGCCCACACGCTGCGCAGCACCGCCGGCAGCTGTCCCTGGCGGCGCGGTGTCCGGAGCTGCGGCTGCTCTGGCTCCCTGGCTGCGCAGCGCCGGCAGCGCCGCCTCCAGGCGCGGGGGAGCGCCGGGACCTGCGGGGACTACAACGCCTGGGGTGCCAGCGACGCAATTGGCAGCGGCAGGCACTTAGGCGGCGGCGCCACCCCAGGCCTCCGCAGCACCAGCGGCATGAGCCTCCGCAGCGGCCCAATGCACCGCCGCGGCGACCAGCGCGCATATCTGCCCAACGAGCGCCGCGGCGTCGCCGCCGCCTCCAGAGCTGTCTCCGCGCTGCTGCAACACCGAAAGGCGGCTACGAGGGTGTCGAAGGCCGTCACGGCGCCGGCCTCGGTCAGGTCCGCTGCCGGCGGTGCGCGGGCCGGCGTCGCCTGTGCTTGCACTGCCAGCAGCGTGGCATCGGCCTGTTGCAAAGCCGCCTTGGCCGCCTCGGCCTCGAACTGCGCGACCGCACGCGGGACTTCCGCCAGATCCTCGCGGACCACTTGCAGATTGGTCGCCGCCGCCCGCTGCGAGTCCGTGGCAGCCTGGACCTGGAATGCCCACGGGCGCGAGGCCGGAGCAGCATGCTCCAAGGCCTGGACGAGCTGGCGGTCGCACTCCGCCAAGTCGCCCGCCGCTCCATATCGTTGGGCGGCCGCCCAACGATCGCTCCAAATACCTGAGCTCCCGCTGGGCAGTGCTCAGGTCGGCGGCAGGCGGGTCCTGCTGCAAAGCACCTGCCGGGGGCAGACATCGCCACGCGCCGCAGTGCCACCAGGCGGGGGCAGCAAGCGTTTCACAGCTTCTGCGTACGAGGCCGCCCCAGCCGCCTCGCCGCCCTGCTGGCGATCCGGCCCGTCCTGCTTCGCCGCCCGCGTGCACATGCACTGCTTTGCCGCCGCCCGGGCGACGTTGGCGATCCGTTGCGGCGCGGCCCTGCCGCAGTGCTGGCAACGCACCTGGCAGGCCCAGTTTTCCGCGCGCCCTCACTGACAGCCCCAGCATGGCTCCCGTGGCCCTGGGACCACATCTAAGTCAGCCTGCCGGCCGCCAAACGACACCATGCAGCCTGCCCGCGCCCGCCGCCGCGGCCGCACGGCATCTGGTACGGGTCCCGCTCGCGGATTACCCACGCACGACCCACACGCGATCCATCCTGGACCCTTCCCGCGATGCAGCCATAACTCGCCCCACGACTCACCCGTGACTCGCCCCGCAACCCACACACACGACCAGGCCACGCGACAAACTCGCGACCCGTCCCGCCACACCCCAGCAACTCGCCCTACGATCCGCCTGGCGACCCGCCCGCACTGCTTCGAGAAGTGGCAAGATGCTCTCGGCGTTTTTGTTGTGCCGTGGCTCTGGAGAATACCAGCATGACGAACGCATAAAATAAGGGATGAAAGGGCTTTGCTGGCCGCGTAGAACCTACAGTCGGGCTGGATTGGAGAGGGCACGTGAGAGGACACAAGACTCTCCCGATGGCCACATTGCCAGTGGAACGCACAGGGCATGGGTCGCGAAGCACAGGACTCAAGGGTACCCTTGTTTGGGCAGGGCCGACCTGCTAATCAAGCTCGACTGTAGGCCACAAACAAGTTCCGAAACATAGAGGACTGGCCAGAAGGCCCGAGCCCCTCCCGAGCCCACAGCGGTCCTTACTTCGGCGTCTACGCGCCATCCCTTTGGTCCACCCCGCGCCTGGCCCGCGGCACACCCGCGAAACGCCTCCTCCTCCTCCTCCTCGTCCTCCTCCTCCTCCTCCTCCTCCTCCTCCTCGTCCTCCCTCCTGCGACCCGCATCCGCGTCCCAACCGACGCGGTCCACGACAGCCACGTCCCGCGCGCACTCACTCCGAAGTCTCAGTCGCAACTGCGGAGGTCTGACCGTTCAGAGCCAAGTCTCCAGCGTTCGGTGCTCGCCATGCTTTCCACCCCTAGGCCTAAGTGGATACGTCTGGAGCCAGCCCTCCAGCCCATGCTGCTCTTCATGCCCTGAGGCTCAAGATCTGGCCCAACTCCTGCTCCAGTCGAGCTGCAGCCGAGCTTCAGACCCAGCTCCAGCTTCAGCTTCGCTTCAGATCCAGCCCAACGTTCAGCTCCAGCTTCAGTCCCAACCCTGGCTCCAGCCCCAGCTCCAGTTCCAGGTGCCACTGAAGCTCTAGCCCAGCTCGAGCTTCAGAAGCAGCTCCAGCCCCGGTTCAGCTCCAGCTCAGCTCCAGCTCCAGCTTTGCTGTAGCCCAGCTCCAGCTCCTAGGTCGGGCATGTCCTCCTACAGGCGGAGCTTGGAAGAACAATAAGCATATCAAACGTTTTGACACAAAGTCAAAAGAGCACGGAAAATCGTCGCCATACTAGTGTTTTACGATTCTTAAGCACTCCTCCTGTAGAGGGACATGTCCGATTTAAATATGCTCTTTCCTTGTCCTCCTCATGATTCGCTCCCTCAGGGCGTCGCGCCCGCCTGACGTATGTGATGCCCAGCCTGGCGGAGCAGTCGGCGCACGTGACGTCACGGACCTCTGACTGGATCAGACGCGGAGCAGGACGGGGGCAGGGAGAGAACGGTTCGATGGCAACTCACGGGAGCATCCCATACTATGTTGTCGGCTCTTGCGAATCGACGCTGATCGACGATAGTCGACGCTGATCGACGCTATTTCGACGCTAATCTACGCTTGGCGACGCTAAATGGGAACTCATCGGCTCTCAGACGCTAGTCGACGCTAGTCGACGCTGAAGACGGAATTGAGAGGGTATACCAGGCTCCCATGATTTGCTGCCGAAGGAAGGTGCACCCCCGCTCTCAAGCTGTCCATCGATGAGCCTTGGGAGCGGTGAGCGAAACATATCTTCGGCTCGCTAGCAGGCACAACCGCTAAGGCCGAGAATTCGCGCTCTTCTAGCTTCTTACCCGCATCACATGTGGCGATTGAACGCAAAGGTCGGCCGTGTCGAGAAGCTCCGTATACCAGACAGACTCAGTGTCTCATAACGCGAACGAAGCGCGCAGGAGGTGGCCAGGGGGTCCGAGCAGGACTGGGATCGAAAAAATCAAATCAAAGATGGACCATGCCGAATTCGGTCAAAATCGGTCCCCAAACAACTGCCAGGGTCCATCTGTTGCAGTTAGTCGCCCTGGATCTAGGTCGGGCGTGTCCACCTACATGCGGATTTTGATCGATAAATATAAAATGCTACAAAAAAAGCGAACATGTTCGAACATAGTCAAAACATCGTCCCCATACTAGTTGTTTATTGTTTTGGCATACTCATCCTGGAGAGGGACGTGCCCGACTTAAGCCTGGATCCGTTCCTGACGGTCCTCGTGCCCGAAGACGACCCTCTGAGGCCGAAAAAGCCGACAAGCTAACCAGGTTACTTGAACCCAACAGCTCGAACTTTGCCACCCACCCCTTCTTACGGCAGGTTCGTGCGGCGTCGGCGCGTGCGAAGGTTTTTGACACCGCCTCGATTGCAGCCCCGATCGTTCGATGTTAAATTCGGTCGGGTCCAACGGCGTCACCGTGTCCCTCGGTGCTGCCACGTCGCAGAATTCAACCTGGAACGCCTTCGCCGGCGTCGCCACCGCGCCAACGCCGCACAAACTTGCCGTACTGGCTAGAACCAGTGCTGGGCCACCTCAGACCACCAGACGGCCCCACAGCGCAGGCAACCTTTTGCGGGGTGTCTCCGCCCGTCCAACCTCTGGCATTCCTGGCGGTCACTGCGGCTCTCAACGCCACCCGACACTGTCAATCGAACCGCAGACGACAAGCATCATATATATATATATATATATATATATATGTATATATATACTTATACATGAATTATTCCCTACCTAGGCTCTGCCTAGAAAGGTTCTTACGCTATCTTAAAGGGGCCGGGCAGTGGAACGCGCCCCGGGCGGTTCCCCCGGCATCCGCCCCGCGGTTCCCCCAGCTACGTCCCCTTAGCTTAGCGTTGATTATCTCATCTTAGCTGAGCTTATTTCATCTTAGCTTAGCTTAGCTTCATCTTAGCTCAGGCTTATCTTAGCTTAGCTTACCTGCATCTCAGCTTCGCTGAGCTTTAGCATAGCAGAGCACAGCATAGCATAACATAGCGTAGCATAGCGCAGCACAGCATATTGTTAGAGCAAAAAATGTCATCGCATAGTTCCCTACCTAGGCTCTGCCTAGAAGGGTTCTTACTCTCTTGGCTTAAAGGGCCGGGCAGTGAGAACCGGCCCGAGCGGTTCCCCCAGTATCCGCCCCGCGGTTCCCCCAGTTGCGCCCCCTGGGTTCACCCAGCTTAGCGTAGCTAAGATTAGCTAAGCTTAGCTAAGTTTAGCCTAGTTTAGCTTAGCTTAGCTTAGCTTTGCCTAACCCAGCTTAGCTTAGCTGAGCTTAGCTGAGCTTAGCTTGGCTTAGCTTACCTCATCTTAGCTTAGCTTAGCTTAGCTTAGCTTAGCTTGGCTTGGCTTAACTTAGCTTAGCTTAGCCTAGCCTAGCTTCGTTTGGCTTAGCTTAGCTTAGCTTAGCTTAGCTTACCTTAGCTTAGCGCAGCATAGCGCAGCGCAGCATTAGCACATCATAGCATAGCATAGCATAACCAGTCATAGCATAGCATAGCATAGCTCAACATAGCATAGCATAGCTCAGCATAGCATACCATAGCATATCATACCATAGCATCGCGCAGCATAGCATTTCATATCATAACATAGCATATCATAGCATTGCTTAGCATAGCATTGCCCAGCTTAGCATAGCAACACCAATGCGAACTTGTAGATGTAGATGTAGATGTAGGTGCAGGTGTAGATGTGGATGTAGGTGTAGGTGTAGATGTAGATGTAGATGTAGGTGTAGCTGTAGGTGTAGATGTGAGTCTCGCTGTTGATGTTGGTGTAGATGTAGATGCAGGTGTAGATGTAAATGTAGCTGTCGGTGTAGATGTAGATGTTGCTTTCCTAAATGCTCCAACTCCTAGGTAGGGTCGCACTGGGATAACATATACTCTGGGCTGGTACGTGGCCAAACGAATCGACCAAATCTGAGAATTTCTGTCAGGTACCTACCGCTCGGTCAGACCGTCCGCAGTGGTCGGACTCGGTGCTGCTGTTATGCTGCTGATGTTCGGGCGACTGGGCAACCTGTGCTCGCGGCGCTCGGTGAATGCCGAATGCGTCACGCGCACCGTCAGGAAACACGCCGAGAAACAGTGAAGGACATCACGCCTTGCTCGACCCGGCGGGAAGTTCGCCGAGGCGTCCGCGCAGCGTCCTGAGCTGGCTGCTCACTGTGCAGGCGCGTGATACTGGAATCTAGCTGGGATGCTGCGGGTGCGGCCCGGCCCATGGGGACCAACGGGTGTGGTCCTGTTGGTGGGTGGGACCCTGTTTGGGTGGATCTTTATGGGCTTGACCCTGAAGATCCTGTGAGTGCGACCCCCAGCTTTCTTGCGCTGGAGCAGCCAGACGCGCTGCAGAGCACGGTGGCCAGGACAGGTTCCACGGCCTGCGATGAAGAGCAGAAGAACAAGCGAGGGAACAGAGGGAGGAGGTATGGGGGGGATGGGGGGGGAAGGAGGGGAGGTGGAGGGGAGAGGCACAAGGCCAGAGGGGGAGAGGGGGATGGACAGGGGAGTGGAAAGGGGAGGGACAGGGGGATGGACGGACAGGGGAGGGAGGATGGACGACCGGGGGTGAGGATAGGTGGCGGTGGAGGAGGACGACGACGAGGGATATGGGGAGGGGAGGGGATGAAGGGAGGAGAGGAGATGAAACAACTAAGAGAAACGAAAAAGAGAAGGATGGTACAGCCGCCCCCGGGCTCCTCACAACGCCCCCTCTGTTGGAGGAGGAGGCGGATAATGTATAAATGATGGACAAGACGGTCTAAGATGATGGGATAAGGAAAAATATTGAACGAATAAGCGCGATGGAGCGGAGAAGCGGTAAGGCACAAGACGATACTGAGCACACGGAGAAGGGGAAGGGGGAGGTGGCAAGGGAGGACGCGAAGGAGAAGGTGTGGACTGGGAAGGCTGCAGCGAGACCTTTACAGCAAAGGCATGACCGCACCTCGGGTATACCTTGATCAACGCTAGCCCGAAGATGGCACCAGTGCTGCCACGAACGCATGGTGTGTCAATGTTGCGCAAGCGTGAGGCCAATTTGTGGGCACTGGGGGCCGTCTTGGGGCCATCTCCTGGCATACCGATTCATTTGAAGGTCTGGGGGGCCATATCGGAGTCTTCTTGGGCCATTCTGGGGAGTATTTTGGACTTTGGGGCCTCTGGGGACCGTCTTCGGGCGCTCTTGACATCCTCCTCGGGCAAAAGGGGGGGCTGCATAGAGGCTGGCGAGAGACGCGGCATGCGACCTGCTCAGAGGCGGCGGGGTGGGGGAGACTAAGCAGGCCCCTCCTTACCCTGCCACGCGCTGCCCACCGCTAAGGGAGGGTCTACGCAACGCCCCTCGGCCCCGGCTCACGGCAACGACCGTGTACACTCCGCTCGAGTAGGCAGCGTCGTGGCTGTCCGCGGCCAGGCGCACGTTCCAAGCCTCGGCGGCCCCCTCCCCCTCCGTATCCTTGTCCCCCGACCGACGAAACCTCCGAAGCAACTCTGCTCCTCTTCCTCCTCCCTGCCCTCCCCTTGGTCTTGCCCCCCGCCCCCTCCCCTCCGTCTCCCCCCATCCTCCTCTGCTTCCCCCCCTCCCCCCCGCATCCGTCTCCTCCTCTTGCTCCTCAACCTCCTCCACCTCCTCGCGCCCCTCCTCTCGCTTCCTCCCGTTCCTCCCACTCCTCTTGTGCATCCACCTCCTCCGCCCCGTGTGGCGTTTCGCTCGCTGCGCATCTCTCGCTGCCGCTAATTCTGCCAGTTGTCCTCCTCATCCCACGGCTCGCTCATGCTCATACAACACACACTGGCCGACATGGCTGCTGTCACCAACGCTGCTGCTGAAGAAAGGCACGGTGCGTATCCTTGATTGGACATACCTTTCTCTCAATATATCCTCTTTCTCTCCCCGCGTAGCTGAAAATCGCGGCCCCGCTAACGAATCCGCCTTACCGTTCAGCTCCCTGTAGATATGCCTACCCGACTAGACATCACACGCACGGGCGATATGAGGGCAGGCTGTTTGGGGGGAAGCGCGCCTCCCGCCAGCCCATCACAGGTGCGATGGTGGCACAGCGCTGTGTCATTGAACCGACTGGCGACCGACGCAAGGCCAAGCCTCGCTTCCTTTTGTGGAGCCCCGCGGAGCACGAGCCCCATGCCGCAGGCAAGCTGGCCCCTCTTCCCCTGTTTCCAACTCATCTTTGACGACAGAAGACGACGCCGTGCACGTCAGAGGTGCATGCGCAAGAAACTGGCGCCGACGCGACGGCAGCTGAAAGTCGTGAAACACTTTGACCACCCCATCGTCGCCAACACTGTGAACAGGGCGTGTCTGAAAGCGTGTACATGCTTTTTTGACGAGGAGGCTCGAACGACCAACGCTGCCGCAGGCGCCCAGGGGAAAAAAAAAAAAAAAAAAAAAAAAAAACGCCCCACTCAGTCGGGCACCTTGGGGAGCTGCGCAGTACGTCGCGCCGCCAGCGCCGCGAATTCGGCATGAAGCATGGATGACCCAAGATGGACGACAGTGGTGTCAAAATGCGACTGGCCCAGGATCCGCTCGAGGAATCTGATGGAGCAGCTGGCGGCCCTCCCCTCTGCGGCCCTGGCGGCATCTCTGTGCGTCTCGGGTGCCGGGGAGATCCTGGAAGTCCTGGAGCGCATCGTTGCCCCCCCCCTCCCCTTTTCCATCCTCCTCCCCTTCTGTCCTCCTCTGATGCCCCCCCTCCCCCCGCTTCCTCCTCCCACTATCCTCTTTTATCCTCCTCCTCCTCCTCCCCTCCCATCCTGTGATCCTCCTTCACACCGTCCATGCTCTGATCGCCGAGCCTGGTCGGCGAGGTACGCGGGGCTGGACATGATGCGGTAGCTCGTGGATACGACGTCGCAGGCTGACAGAGGGCGGCCGGCGAGGCATATCGACACAGGAAGAAAGAGAGGAGAGGGAGAGAAAGAGAGAGAGAGAGAGAGATGAGAGAAGCAAGCTACATACAGGAGGACAGTACGAACGAACTAACTACAGACAGAAAGAGAGAACGAGAGAGAGAGGAAGAGAGAAAAGGTTTCGAGGTAGAGGGGGAACACACGCAAACAGAGCTGCACAACGACAGTGCAAGAGAGGGGGAGAGAGATCGAGAGAGAGAGAGAGCAAACATACAAAGACACAACATACATATATACACGATACGTGCACACCTGGCGACGCTCCAGCGCACACGCGTTCCTCCTCCGCCGTTCTATCGAACTTCTTCTTTATATGTATATTTATATTTCTCTTTCTCTTTCTCTTTCTCTTTCTCTCTCTCTCTCTCTCCCTCTCTCTCTCTCTCTCGCTGTCTCTGTCATTCCCATACACGCGTTCGCTGTTTATTGTTGTGTTGTTGTGTTTGTTTCGTTGTTTCTGTGATATATATATATACACACACTAGAACCATCGCGCGCGCATCGCGCGCGCTATGGTTCTAGCCGAGGTCAAGACAAATCGAGTCAAACTTCGTCGAAGCGCGTCCGGAACAAAAAAGGTCGACGGAAGACTCGAACAAACATAACAGTGCTCGTCCTTAGCGCTCGCGCTGCTTAGCGTCCTTGGCGTTCGCGCTGCTCTCTGATCGAGCAAAGTCCGCTCAAAAGACCCCCAGGGGCCGAAAACCGAAAGACCTCGTCGAACCTCGATCCTCGATTGATCGGTCCTCGACTGGCGCCTGCGACGACGAGCACGACGACGGCGGAGGCGACGACGACGGCGGCGACGATGATGACGACGACGGCGGCGGCGCTGACGACGGCAAGGGCGACGTTCACCGCGAGATGCAACGACTTATGCTGCTCACACTTGCACCGAGCTGGCCTGAGCCCGCCGACCCCTCGTGGGTCTCTTGGCGTATCAAGACCTTCCCCTCCAGAAGCCCCCGCTGGGTTTGGCCTATTGGGGGGGATATCTTGGCGGCCTCTTGGAGCCTCCTAGGGGCCTCCAGGTGCCTCCTGGGACCTTCTTGGGGCGGAAAGGGTCGGATTTTCGGTTCGGGCTCCCCCTCTTGGGCTCCTCTTGGAGCCGTATTGGGGACCTCTTGGGGTGTCTTGGTCCCCTCCCGGGACGTCTTTGGAGCCTCTTTGGCAGTTTTGGGACTCTCTTGGAGGCCTTTTGTACCGTCGTCACCGCTGTGAAGACTGACAGGTCGTAGATGCTAAGAATGTACGTTTCCCGATGCCAAATCAATGATTCTGGCCTCGGGGACCCTTTTGGAAAGCCTCTTGGGGGCCTCCTGGGGCGCCTTCGCGGCCCCTTGGGCACTGTGAAAACCGTCTTGGGCGTCCAAGGGCTAGCTTTGAGCGCTCCGGGGCCGCCATGGAACGTTTTGGTAGCCTCATGGGGACCTCTGGCCACAACTTGGCCGCCCCTCGGGTTGTCTTGGGCCGTGTTGGTGGCCTCTTGGGGCCGTCTTGGGGGCCTCTTGTACAGTCGTGCACGCCGTGAAGACCGAAAATACGTAGATGCTAAAAATGAACGTTTTCCGGTGCAGAATCAATGATTTTGGGCGCTTGGGGCTCCCTTGAAAAGCCTCCTGGGGCGTCGTAGCGGCCTCTTGGGCTCTATGGGAGCCATCTTGGGCGTCCGGGGGCGATCTTTGAGAGCCCTGGGGCCGTCTTGGACCGATGTGGGAGCCTCTTGGGGTTCCGTGGACACGTCTTGGCCGCCTCTTGAGCACGCCTCGGCCGCCTCTGGGGCTGTCTTGGGCTCCCCTTGGGCCGTGTTGGGAGCCTTTTGGGCCGTCTTGGGGCCGTCGTAGGGGCCTCTTGTACCGTACCCTCGTGCACGCCGTGAAGACCGAAAAGACGTAGATGCTGAAAATGTATGTTTTCCTATGCAAAATCAATGATTTGGGCCGCTTGGGGCTCTCTGGGGAAACAACTTGGGGCGTTGTAGCAGCTTCCTGGGCTCAAAGGGAGCCATCTTGAGCGTCCAGGGGCGATCTTTGAACGCCCCGGGGCCGTCAAGGACCAGTTTGGGGGCCACTCGCGCCTCCCTGGACACGTCTGGGCCGCCTCTTGGCCCGGACAGGAGCGCTCCCGGAGCCCCGGGTCGGCCAGGGGGACGCAGGGACCTGCCTGGCGGCCCCGATCCCCTTCCGCAGGCGTATACATATATATATATATATATATATATATATATATATATATATATATATATATATATAGGTGTGTGTACACGCATATAGGAGAGAGAGAGAGAGAGAGAGAGAAGGAGAGAAAGAGAGAGAGAGAGAGAGAGAGACAGAGGGAAAGAGAGAAAGAGAGAGAGAGAGAGAGATATTCCTCTTCCTATATTTTAATAAGCCCGGGCGGGGGGAAAACCCGTCCCCCCCCCCAAAAAAAAAAGCCGGACTCCCGGGACCTGGGGTTTTGGGGCCCTCTGGACGGGCCTCGAAACGGCCACCGGGCCTCGCAGAGCGTTTTGCCAAGTTTTCCCAGCACACCTAGGGCGATCAGGGGGGTCATCGGAGACGTCCCAGAGACCCCCAAGACAGGCACAAGAGCGCTCCAAGAGTGACCGACGTGACCTCAAGATGGCCCAAGAGGCCTCCAGGACGGCCCCAAAGAGGCCTCCAAGAGCACTCCCAAGAAGGCCCCCCGAGGCAAAAATCATTCATTTTCTGTTGGCTTTTGGTGAATTTTAGGGTTCTCCTCTTTTCGGCTTCCCGACGCTCCAAGACGGCGGTCTTCTGGGCGTCCGAAGCCGCCTGGGAGGCTCCAAAATCGCCCCACAACCATCCGAAAGGGCTTCCAGGCAGTCCAAGAGAGCCCCAAAACGGCACAACACGGGTCCAAGATGGCCCTCAGAGAGCCCCATGGCGGCCCAAGATGGCCCAAAGACACCCTCCGAAGAATTCCAAATCGTGATTCGGTCGTTCAGGGAGACCGCGGTTGGAGGCAGGGTGGCCCGAGGAAGCCCCCGGAGGCCCCCAGAATACGCCGAGGAGGTCTCCTGAAGGCCTTGAGAAAGCCTGAAACAACTTTTGTGAGGCCCCTAGAGGCTCTCCAAGGAGGAGCCCCCGCAAAAAAAACTGAGGATGGGGAGAATGCGCAGGACATGGCGAAAATAAGGAAAAAGAAGCATGGAGGAAGGATAACGAATAACATTATTATAGCGGCGATGCCAGAAAAATCAACCAAGAGTTATCGCTAAATTGTCGGCTTGGCTTTCCTGCTATTCAGCCTGCATACCAAACTTCAAGGACCGAGGTGCATGGCGCGAAGCGCCACTGCAATCTTGTGTATTTATATTTATATATATATATATGTATACACATATATGTATATGTACATATAGATATATACGCCCTTTCCGTCACACGCTTTTCCCTCCAGCGCTGTGGCAACGATCTCGCGGGCCCAATGCGACCAGGGCACGAGGGAGGCTGCATTGCACCAGCGGTGGAGCAGAGCCCCGAAGGGAGAGGCCACAAACACTGGGGGAGGCCAACCAAGGAGGACCTCTTTGAACAACGGGACGACTCTGACGGGACGCACCGTCGGGCCGCACCATGGGCCCGCGATGAAGCCCCCCCCCCAGGGAGAGAAGCCCACCACCCTCGTCGCCTCCGAACTCGCGGTGCAAACGTGCGGGCGGCTGCCCAGCCCGGCCGCCCATGTTAGGGGATGTCAGGGTGTCGTGCGACATGGCAGAGGCGATCTCTCTTTCCACGTGGCGAAGGCGATGGCACGTCACGGGGCGCGAGAACTCTGAGCCCCGGACAGAAAGCATAGGGAGATTGGGGGGTGGGGAATCAGAGCGGGCGCGACTGGACCCAAAATGGCCACGACAAGTGCGCGCCTCGCTGCACACCCAAGCCGCCCGCCCTCATTGCACCCCCGTTCACAAGTGAACTCTGCTGCAAACGTGCGGGCGGCTGCCCAGCCCGGCCGCCCATGTTAGGGGATGTCAGGGTGTCGTGCGACATAGCAGAGGCGATCTCTCTTTCCACGTGGCGAAGGCGATGGCACGTCACGGGGTGCGAGAACTCTGAGCCCCGGACAGAAAGCATAGGGAGATTGGGGGGTGGGGAATCAGAGCGGGCGCGACTGGACCCAAAATGGCCACGACAAGTGCGCGCCTCGCTGCACACCCAAGCCGCCCGCCCTCATTGCACCCCCGTTCACAAGTGAACTCTGCTGCAAACGTGCGGGCGGCTGCCCAGCCCGGCCGCCCATGTTAGGGGATGTCAGGGTGTCGTGCGACATAGCAGAGGCGATCTCTCTTTCCACGTGGCGAAGGCGATGGCACGTCACGGGGTGCGAGAACTCTGAGCCCCGGACAGAAAGCATAGGGAGATTGGGGGGTGGGGAATCAGAGCGGGCGCGACTGGACCCAAAATGGCCACGACAAGTGCGCGCCTCGCTGCACACCCAAGCCGCCCGCCCTCATTGCACCCCCGTTCACAAGTGAACTCTGCTGCAAACGTGCGGGCGGCTGCCCAGCCCGGCCGCCCATGTTAGGGGATGTCAGGGTGTCGTGCGACATAGCAGAGGCGATCTCTCTTTCCACGTGGCGAAGGCGATGGCACGTCACGGGGTGCGAGAACTCTGAGCCCCCATCTCACCACCGTGACGGCGAATAGCCTTCGCCCGCACGCCCCTCAGCTCTGGAAAGCAACGTTCGCAGAGCTGCTTGTAGATGCCCGGCATCGCGTGGACCCGGGCCGCATTCACGCCGGCGCCGAACTGCCAGAGGCATCTCGCGATCCCAGTGCGCGCTTCTGGTGGCCCAGATTCGGCCGCCAGGACCGCGTGCACGACGAAGCCATCGATGCCGACGTGGTTCTTCACGGTGTCCTGCATGAGCACAACGCCTTCCAACGGGGAAGTCTCCTCCATATCCTGCTCAACCCGCTCCCGCAAGGACGTCGCAAGGGCCGCGTCCTCCGCGTCTGAAGACACGAGGCGGGGCACCTCGAGTTCGAGTGCCCTGCGCACCTCAGACAGCTCCAACCGCACTGCCGGAACCGCAACTTCCAAAGCGCCCAGCCGCTCCCGGAGGGGCTCCAGCGCAGCGTCCACGGCGTCCGAGTCCACGGGGGGAGCTGCCTGCGAGCCACCGGGGGCGTCGCGCCCAGCCACGGCAGACGGCGCACTCTCGCCCGAGGGGCGGGCGCGTGCCCGGCGGCGCTGCAGGGCCTGCCGGGCAGCTCGTAGCGCGACGAGCTGCGGAGACGTCATCACCTCGCCCGCCGGCGGACGAGCCGTGACCGATGCCCTCGCAGCCCACGTGTGCGATGCCAGCAAGGGGGGCCTGCCGCACGTACTCCAGCACGACCGAAGAGCCCCAGCGCCCCAGGAGCTGAATAATCCAGATATCCAACCCTGCCTGCGCGAGGGACTGTGCACCCCCAGCGCGCAGGCTGTGCCCTGACCACAACGGCCACCCGTCCGCCGAAGTTGCAGACAAGCCCAAGCGGCGCGCGGCTTCCTGGATGGTCGCGACCACGGCCTCCTTGGAGACCGCGGTGCCCTGCGCCGACGGAAACAACGGAAGGTCGAGGTTCGGCATGCCTGCTTCGTCGTGGCGGTCAGGAAAAAGTGCACGCAGCGTGGCACGCTGGGCCCACAGGGCGTGCGCTGGGCATACGTTCGCGAAAGCGCCAGACCCGCAACAACATCCATGCGTGCGCTCCTGGCCCAAAGCCGATGGGTCCGCCTTGGAAGCGGGAAGTAACCAAGGGGCCTGGAGGCCTGATGGGGTCATCCTGAAGGTGACCATTGCCGCTGGCGCTGTGCTGATTTCAATTTCTCTGGTGAGCCACCAGCAGCCGGCGACCAGCATGCGGAACGGCGCCAGCGGACCCCCGGGGACCCACGCCTCGTTCCCTCGCGGGAGCCGGTCCAGCTGCCCCATGCGGCAAGCCTTCAACTTTCCGTGCCGGGCCGAGGCCCCTCTCGCAGGACCGGCGTGCGTCCTTGAGCGCTTGCGCCAGTGCCGGCGAGACCGGATGGTCTCCTTGCTCATGGCGCTTCCTGGCGAGTGCCAGATATGATCTCGCAGATCGGTACCCGCCCAGCTTCAGTGATGCCCCCAGGGCCCGGACTGATGCGACCGTGAGCGGGGGGTACGTCAGGCCCCACATGTCGAAGATCGCGTCGATGGTGCGGGCCTTGGCGGCTTCGGTGTCACGGGACGTCGAGGCCAGGACGTCCGCGTCGAAATTGTGCAGGGCCAGCTGCTGCCCCGCCGCGTCGCGAACGTCTGGGAGGGATCCGCGTCTATATGCCGCCCGCCCAGGTGCGTCGGACCGCAGCGCCGGGATGGCAGGTGGATAGCATTCCCTGCCACGGCCACTGACGGCAAGCGCAGCGCTCAATGGCACGCCAGCTTGGGCCCGACCCACGGCATGAGGATGTGCCGGGAGTGCCGCGGGGAGCCCGATAAGCCCGGCGGCAGGCGCAGCGCCCAATGGCGCGCCGGCTGGGGCCCAACCTCCGGCATGAGGATGCGCCGGGGTTTCAATGGGGCGCCCGATGGGCCCGCGTGGCTCCCCCCGATGACGCCGCGTCGCAGGCGCGGCGTCGGCCAAATCGAGGCGCCTTCTTACCTCGCGCATTTGACTCCGAGATGGCTGCTCGGGTCACGAGCGGAATGGGCGGGGAGCGATGGCTGCGAATAGGTCGATGCATGCCCGAGCGGGCGATTTCGGGAAGGCCGAAAAAGGCCCAGGGTGGGCCGGGGACGTCCGGGGGCACCCGTCCAGCATTCAAGATGAATCCGCCGGGGGCGGCTTTCGCATGGAAAAACACACCTGATCCAGCCAGGCCCCGAAATTTCAAAAAATGCCGAACGGACGAAACATGCATTTTTTGAAACTTTGAGGGCGCGCAGGAAGTGCTGATTTTTCCACACACACACACACACACACACACACACACACACACACACACACACACACACACACACACACACACACACACACACACACACACACACACACAGAATGCGCCCCGGGGAAAATTAAGTTGAAAACTGGGCGGCGCCCGGGGGCCTTCCACTGACAACTCGGCGGCGCGCCGGGGCCCGCCTCCGCCGCCAGAAGACCTAGGGTCGGCCAGGGCCCCCCAGAATTGCGGGGATGCCCCGCGCAATTTTCTGCCGAGTTTTCAAAAACTCGGCAGAAAACCGGGCGCGGGCGGCGGCGGGCGCCCAGACGCGGCCGCGGGGGCCGCCCCAGGGAATTCTGAGCGCGCGTGCAGGGGCGCTCAGAATTCGGCCTCCGCGCGCCCTGGCACGGCGCCCGGGCCGTCTCGGGGAGGGGGCCCGAAAACGGGCGCGACGGGGGGCCGGAGGGCATCTTTTCCCCAGCGCCATTTTCAAACGCACCCCTCGGTTACAGCGAAACGAACCTCATGCCCGTGAGAATAAACACCAGGGGATAATAAAGTTCGGGGTTCAGGGAGAGATAATAAAAGTAGCCCAGCAGACCTCAGCATAATCTCGAAGTAAGAGATGATCAAGAGGAGACCAAGCCGAGCACGTTTTGAGACATCCTTGGCGTTTAGTTTTCATAGAAATATCCTCAACAATGGTTTATCTCTCATGTTTTTTTGTTGTAAGTGCTCGTGTAGGGTAGCTCATGTGCCTCAATTACCATGGATAATCAACCCCAGAGATAAAAACAGTTCAGGCGAGCGTGGGGGCAGAGAGAAATATAAAAGAAGAAGAATACAGTAGAATAATAATAAGAAAGAAAGAAGAAGAGGATAATAAGAAGAGGACGAAGAAACGAAAAAACCAATGTTCCAAATCTATCAATTTTAATTTACAAACGCTTTATGAAACTTGTTTTTTTAAGTGCTCGTGTAGGGTAGCTCATGTGCTTCATTTTCCATGGATAATCAACCCCAGGGATAAAAAAGTTCAGGCGAGCGTGAGGACATATAGAAATATAAAAGAAGAAGAGGAAAGTATAATAATAATAATAAGAACATTGCTCGTTTCGTTTGAGTCTGCCTCCCAAAATTATTGGTTTCGCTTGACACATCCTGAAAAAGTGAAACCGCTTCGCTTGATGTTGCTATATCAACATCGCTTGATGTTGCTAGCCCAACATATCGTTTCGAGGTGATAATGAAGTTCGGCCTCAGCGCTCGCCGCCCAATTTGAATTTTGTATAGGGCGACGATAATCAACTCTAAACACTGAAGGGGGGGTCCCTTTATTATCATCGGCATGCGGTTATGGACTGAAGGCGTCCGCATGGCCGGGAGCGCTTGGTGCCGCGATGGGGCCGAGGCCCGCGGCACCGAATGTAAGCGCCCCGGCAAACGCTCTCCCGCGGAAATCACGGCGGCCGCATGGCCTGGAACGCTTGGCGCCACGATGGGACCGAGGCCCGTGGCACCGAATGTAAGCGCCCCGGCAGCTTCTTCGGCGGCACAGCCGTCAGCCTCGACAAGGCGTCAGCATCGTCGTTGAGCTCCGCGGGGATGTGCGCTGTCGTGAACGTCCAGTTGTAGCGTGCTTTGCGCCGCGCGATCTCGCGCGCGACATCCAGCATGTGGCCGCGCCCCTTCATCGCGAGGCCGTCCTGGAGAGCAGCGATGTTGTCACCCTGGATCGTCAGGACACGGTCCACCGCGTGGCGCCCCCAGAGAAGGAGGCACACCAGCAGCGTCGCGAATTCCCATAACGATTGCAAGCGTGAAACACCCGCCTCCGCCTCGAACAACGCGAGGATCGTGGAGCCCCACGTGACCACGAAGTACTCCACCGGCTCGGCGGCGCGCCAAAGGATGCCACCGCCGCCCCAGGGTGATGCGTCGAAGGTCGCCAGCACTGGCGCTGGCGGGAGGGCCTGCGCGTCTGACGCTGGCCGTACCATCCGCTGCAATGGAAAGACACAACACTCATGCCCTCGCGGCTGCCATGGCTGCCCCGCCCTCTCGGGGTCCGTCGGCTCGGACAGGAGGGCCATGAACCATCGCGCGGCTGTCCGAAAGCGCGCGACGGCCACGTGCCCTGGCGGGGCCTCCGTGCGACCCTCTTCCACGGCCCGTACGCTGGCGGTGAGGGCGGCCCAGAGCATGGCGGCGAAAGGTGCTGCAGTCGGCACTACCTGCGCCACGCGCGAGCCCTTGCCAGTGATGGAACGCGCCGCCGCCAAGGGCGCGCAGGGCGCGCCGCCTGCGAACGGCTGCAGCGACTCCAGGAACGCGTCAACGAACTCGGGTGTCAGGGCCATCACAGAGCAACCTGCCCAGGTCGCGTACGCTATTCCCAGCCACTGGTGGCATGCCACTGGCGCGGGGCCCTGGGCCCCGGGTGCCAGCGCGGCAGTCTTGCCACCAGCGTGCGCGCCCTTCGACCAGGCGAGGCGGAGCCCGAGGACCAGCCACCAAAGCAGCACCAGGTCCAACTCCAGCTCGCATGCGGTCGGCGGCCCCGCGGCCGTCATGACAGGGTCGTCGACATAGAGCTGGAGCCGGAACGCGTCTGCGGACGCGATGGCCTGCGCGGTGCGGGCGGCGAAGCTGCCGAACCGGCTGTGCACCAAGGGGTTGCTCTTGCCGCCGAAGCCCAATACGTTCCAGACGATGTAGGACATGCTGCCAGGGCCCCGCAGCCCGGGGACCTCAGCGCAGTTGCACGGCTTCTCGTCCTCGTGGAGCGGCATGACCATGAAGGCATCCACGAAGTCCAGGACGACGACTTCCACGTGGTTCTCCGACGACGATAGGTTCGCCAGGTCCACCGCGTGGTCGACGCCGCGTGGGAGCACGACGCGCTCCCACGTGGAAGCTGCGCTGTTCACGCAGTTTACCTTAAGATGTTGGATGATCCTGTGCTTCCAGACCCCAGTGCGGCGGCGCTTGCTGATATTCCCCAGCGGCGCTGGGTAGGTGTGCCCGTGATGCCTTTCAGCGTCCGCCCGCGAATGGAACTCTGTGCCAAATCCCTTCTCCAGGTACTCCCGGATCAGAGCATGCGTTGGAGGAACTGGCTCATCGTCAAAAGTTGCCTGGAAAGAGCCATGGTTGCCGCGGTACTCAAAGACGCCTTCCAGCTCCTCGGGCGACAGAACAGCAGGCGACGGCGCCATGGGGAAGTGTCCTCCAGGAGCGACCTCCTGCACCATTCCCATGGGCGCGCCGTGCTGTAGCCAGGCCCCCACGTGCGTGTCCGTGTCATGGGACTGCCTGAGCACGGCTTGCACGATGCGGTGGCGGAGAGGGGGCGACGGATGGTGCTCGCCCACGGCTCGCCGGTCGAGGCCAAGCGCGGCGCCGACGGCCCGACGCGCAAGGTCAACGGCCGCCTCTGACGGCGGCGCCCGTGCCCGGCGTTCCCCGCACGCCCCTGCAAGGCCCCGGATCTCCCGGAGCCCCGCGCGCACTGGGAGTAGGGAGGCTCTCACCCTTGCCATTGTCTGGCGCAGCTCCGGCCACTGAGACACCACTTGTGCGGGGTTGCGCAACCCTGCCGCGCAGACCCTGTCCTCTGCGGACCTCCGCTCCTGGGCACTGGGATCCGCCGTGCCGCGGAGAGGGTGCGGCAACACACGTGCCCGGTCGTGCGGATCCTGGTCTGGCTGTCCTGGCAGCAGTCGCGCAGCCGGCGCAGGGGGGGCCGTTGCGCGATCCTCCGACGGCTGCGCCGCCCGGGCGTGCGATGCGCGGCACGGGCATGATGCCCAGCTGGCTCGATGGCCCGGGCCGCTGGATGGCGCGCCAGCGCCGGAGGCGGGGATGGCAACGCGGGTGCTGCCCGATTCGGTGCCGCGCTGCCCCCAGAAAGGCTCCTGGAAATCTCCAGCGCGATTGTTCCTGGGCAGCCCGCTGATCTTCTCGGGGATGTCCTGGTAGAGGTGCTGCCGCGTCCCGGCAGAGCCAGGGCGGCTCGCCGCCCCCCGCGCCTGCGCGATGCGCCGTCACGGGGGGCTCTTCGGCGGCTCACCGCCGCCCCCGGCCGCCCCTGCCAGCACCCCGGCCCCCGCCCTTCTCAGGGGCCTTCCAATCGGTCCGGGCGCTTCGGGCAGGACGAGTCGACGGCCCGGTGCGGCCCCAAGCACCACTCGCAAAGATGGCTGCGGCGCTGCGGGCACGCCCCCGCGGCGCACCCATTGCGATCGCGGTTCCAGGCGAAGCGCAGCTCCACGCCGTCATCGTCGAGGACGTGGCGGCCGTCGGGCCGGGTGCCCTTCTCCTTGAAGTTCTGGAAGCGGGTCACCTGCGCTTCCACCCGCCTCTGCTTGCGGGAGCGGTCGGGCTCCTCCTGCGCCGGCCTGGGGCGGCCCCTGCCAGCCGGGAAATCCCCCCGCGGCGCCCCCTCGACCGAGCCGGCGCCAAGCCCGATATGCTCGAAGCCCGTCGTGCCCTCGACGTCGGCGACCCGGCCCGGAGCTGCCTTGACTGTGCTGCTCTGGAGACACGGGAGGTCGAGGTGGCGGTACCACCATTGCCCCTCCTCGCCCGTGCCGTACGCACTGTATGCCAGGACAGCTTCCCATGGCCTGTTGGGGTCCCAGCGCTGCTTCAGGGTCCCCGCGGAGACGAATCGCTCGATGAGGACCCGCACGCGTTCTCAGCGCTCTGACCGCATGTGGTCTTCAACCACGCAGATCAGCCCCCACTTGTCCGGGAACGAGGCCGAGACGGTCCGCACGCCCTCTTCGTAGGCATCGAGCGGGCCGGCCACGCTGAGGCCGAGCTTCAGGGCAGCCGTGCGGAAGACCCTCCAGCCGCGGCGCCATGCCGCGAAGTTTGGCGGGCCCTGCACGACCTTGGTCACCCACTCGCCGGCGACGAAGACCTGGGCGCGGAAACTGAGGAACTTGGCGGTCCGCTTCCCGAACGGGCCCCAGATGCCAAAGTCGGTGTAGGGGGCCTCGTCCTGCGCCAGCAAGAAAGCCAAAGCAGAGATCTGCTCCGGTGACGTGTCTTCGTAGTCTGCCGTGGGGCCGCCGTTGGTGGCCTCGAACGTCTCGTCGACCTCCTTGAGCTTGGCCTTATCGAGCATGCGGTACTCCCGCCGGTCCCCCTGGATGATCACGGTGCTGAGCTCCCGGCCGCGGACCCCCGCCGCCGCTGGCGGTTCCTCCCATGCCGGTGCCGGGCGCTGCGGCGTGAAGATGCCCAGCTGCGGAAGGTTGAAGCCACCCAATGCCCCGAGCTCACCCAGCTGCCGCACAAAACGGCCGCGCTCAATCCCCGTGAGCGGTTGGCCGCCTGACCCCGTCGTGGCTGCCAGGGCGGTCTTCACGTCGGCCTCGAGGACGGAAAACAGGTCTGCCAAAGTGGTGTCCTCACCACCTCCCAGCCGCGTGACCAGGTCGCGGAAGGCGTCCGCGTTGAAGCCCCACGTCTGCACCGCCACGGCGACGTACACGCCTCCGTACGTGACGCCTGGGGCCGCCGCCCTGGGCTGGGCTGGGGAGCCCCCGGAGGCCTCGCCAGGAACAGCGCCGGATGCTGGTGCGGGAGCGGCGGGGGCGCCCCCCCCACCGGCCCCGGCGGCGGAATAGGCCCCATGGGCGGCGCGGCCGCCCTCGCCTGTGCAAGGGAGCCCTCAGAACTACCGAGGTTGAGGCCAACTGCCAGGCGGGCCGGAGGCAGCAGTGGATCCGCCATTCCCCCCGCGGTAGGTGTGAGCTGAGCCTGGCAAGGAAAGAAAGTACAAGAACCCCCCCCTGAATCAGAGCGGGCGCGACTGGACCCAAAATGGCCACGACAAGTGCGCGCCTCGCTGCACACCCAAGCCGCCCGCCCTCATTGCACCCCCGTTCACAAGTGAACTATGCGTCTTCCGTCGACAGGGAGGCAGAAGGGACTGGGGGGGGTGGGGCCGATGGCGAGCAGGCCTAGACATCGCACTGCAAAAAATGACGGATGGTGAGCCGATGGGCAACGCCCGGCAGGCGCACAAAGGACGCAAGGCCCAGACAACCGAGGAGGCCTGGTGGCGCGCGGCGCGGCTGGGATGGAGGCCAGCGGCAACGGGCGAGACAGGGCGCGAGGAGGGAGAGATGCAGGATGCGGGTTAGCTCACGGCAGCGCAGGGAGCGTCAGGCCGACGTGCGGCGAGCGCGGTGAGAAGTGGATGGCAGGCATCGGGCATTGCCCTCCGCCCGAACGGGGGAGTAGCGGACGGAGCGCAGGCGACGGAGTATGAGAGTTCAGCGCGCCAAAGCAAGGAGCGCAGAACGGTACACTGATCGTGGACCTATCGTGCTATCTCAAGGATCGCTGAAGGAATGGATGGGGCTGCTCTGGCCAAGGCGAGCCTCGGCTTCGAGTAGGTTCCCAGACCTGGATCGAAGGAGCAGCCCAGAGAGACCAGGGCCCCTCCTGACGCCAAAAAGGTCATTCGTTCAGCGTCTTGACTGCAAGGAGGTCAAGGCGTTCTGCCCCCCCCCCCCCCACCCCCGTGCGCTGGTGGAGAGGGGAGGCGCACCACTGCACTCACGCACGCGGAGGCACTCCGAGGCGGTGGCTGCAGCATGGGGGAGAGCGGGAGCAGCAGACCGAGGACGAGGCTGCGGATGGGCGTGAGGAGTGTAGGAGCATCAGGCTGAGGAGAAAGGAAATGAAGACGAGGAGGACGGAAACGACATATGCGGGAAGATGGCTAGGATTGCGGTGAGGAGGAGCTGGAGCGCCATCTTGAGCGCCGACGCCTCATAGCGGACCAAGCAAGAGACACTGCTGGAGCACATAAGCACCAGCGAAACCGAGACCGCACTGTGGATGATGCGAGGAGGAGGAGGAGGAGGAGGAGGAGGAGAAGGCCTCCTTCAGCTTCTCAAGCTACTGTTCCCGATCAACCCGTCCTTCCCCTCACAGTCCCTTCCTCGCCCTCCTCCTTTACGAAAACAATGACTCCGGTGAACGTTTTCTTGTTCGGCGTTTCGACATTGAGCGAAAGGGGGATGGGGGAGTCTGCTCCTGACCTCTGCTTAGTGCAACTGTTTGCAACAGCGCGTCCCATGGGGGAGACTCCGCCTGCTTGAAACATGCGCCAACAACAACAAACATCTACTCCATTGGGGGGGTGCGAGGACCCGCGCCGATCAGCAAACCAATGAATAAAACAACGATCAACATGCGACGGAAAATAATGCCAAAACACTTTGCTGCACAATCCTTCGAAGCACGAAACGGATCGTTGGCGGCACTGTCCTGTTATGTATGATGACTGATGACGGCGCCTACTGCTAGCCGAGACAAGTCGTGAAGAGGAGAAGGCGGCAGCGGCAAACGTGGAGGGTACGGCGTGCCAAGGTGGACGCGCGACTTGCCCCATTCTCCTGCAATGCAATGCCAAAGAACGGCACCCGAGCCCGAGGCTAACTGGGAAAACCTGTCAGGAAGAGGCGGAGAAAGAGGAAGCGGAGGCCTGGGGACGGAGGGAGGAAAGAGGAGGACGGAGGACGTACAGGAGGATCACTGGCCAAGCTGCCAGGTCAACGAGCGGGCCGCCATTGAAGACCCCCTCGGGGCCGTTGGCCATTGGCCGCCATTAGGAAATCCCAACGGGGGACACCCATTGCTTGGGGAAACCCTCATTTGCAGTCTGTTGCTGGGGGCTGCTCGCGAGGACGTAGAGGAGAAGGGAGGGAGGGATGCAGGGGGAGGACCGGCAAAAGGAGGAGTAGTGGGAGGAGAAGGAGGAGAAGAAGGAGGAGAAAGAGGACCAGTGTAAACCCAAGAGCCATCAACGATGTTAAAATAAACCATCCCTCCAAGCTCCCTCGTCGCAGCCCCCATACAACGGTTCATTGCCACTGAAAGGACTGCCTCGTTGGAAGACAACCGTTTGAAGACCCTGATGCATGCCAAACCAGTGTTCTCGGGATTCCAACGCCTGTTGCGTCCTGGCGATCCTGAATCGTGGCAGAATGCCATGTCTGGGACTTCAACACCGCGCGTCAACGCAATTAACTGGTCCGTCCTCATAATTCTGAATCCTTTCAGCGCAACATGTCTGGTACGCTGATCATGGGAATCCGTGAAACTCCTGCAGACTTTAAACATGAATTTGCGCGGCGCTGAAGCGAAAACCACTTTTTGAAAACAACCCGTCTCCAATCCGTCATTCCGTGAGATTCTTACAACTCTTAAAACGAATGTGCGCGGCGCTAAATCGAAAAACAACATTCATACAATTTCTAATCAAAAAACAACGCCCTCAATCCGTGAAGGTTTTCCAAATTTGTAAAATGACTGTGCGCGGCGCTCAGGCGATAGCCACATTTTGAAAACGACCCGCCCTCGATCAGTGAAACGATTGCCACTGTTCAAGCGTCAGGGTCATAAATGGTGAGGACGTCTCAAGCGAAACGCACGGCCCGTCCTAAAAACTGGCCTCGGGATGCGACAGGGAGACAATTGAGCTAAAAGAATGAAGAGGAGTGGGAGGTTGAGGAGGAGGAGGAGGAGGACGACGACGAGGAGGAGGAGGAGGAGGAGGCGAACAAGGGACGGCCGTCCACGCCGACGCCCGACGACGACTCCGAAGCCGCCCCGCCGCTGCCGCCGCCGCCGAAGGCCGCCCCGCCGAAGGCTGCCACCGCCGCCGCCTGGGTCCCCGGGGGTCTCTGGGGCTCCCCCCCCGCGTGGTCCTCTCGGGGGGTCCGCGGCCACAGCACCTGCAGGCCTCCGGAGGCCCAAGAGTCGGGGAGGGGACCAGAAGGTAGGACAGCAAAGAGCAGGGCTCCTCGTCCTCCTCCTACTCCTCCTCTTCCTCCTCTTCCTCCTCCTCCTCTCGGGGGGGACGAAAGACGGCAAGGGGCAGGGCAGAGAACCAGCTCACGCAGCTGGTTTTCCTGGCGCCTCCTGGCGCCACGAGGCGCCAGGAGGCGGCCCGGCGGCGGGGCGGGTCGCGAGAAGGCACAAGCGCGTCCAAACCTACGGGACATGCAGTCGGGCCGCTGAAACAAGGAAGGGTGAATAAGGAACGGAGCCCCTGTTTGGCCCCCCGAAGCGCGTGCACGACGAGGGCCAGAGGAACAACGACGGAATGGCCTAAGTAACATCGAGCCCTTTTCGTGCCCAAACTGGTCTTTATTTCAGCGTCCTGACTGTGATTTTCCAAAAAAAGAAACTCACGAGGGCCGCCGCCGAGGGCCGCCGATGGCCACCCCCAGACCTGTCCTAGGGTTCGACCTTGCCAGAACGTCGAGGTGGACCCAGTCATGGCCACAAGGGCGCCCCGAGAGGCCCCTCGCAGCGGCGGCGATCGCAAACCGGGATCGAAGCCTGATCGGGGGGCAACTGCGATGCGAAGTACGCACAGGTCCCCGCAGAAAAACAGCGACGCCGACGACCCCCGAAGACTTCGACCTCGAAGCCTCGGCCGCCCATCCCACGCTGTCGCCTCACGAAGGCGGCGGCGGCGGCGCCCGCCACGGCGGCGGTGCACGCGGCGGCGGCGTCCGCGGCGGCGGCGCCCGCGGCGGTGGCGCCCGCGACGGCAGCCGGCGGCGGCGGCGGCCCGCGCCCGCGGGCGGTAGCCGGCGGCGGCAGCCAGCCGGCGGCGGCAGCCAGCCGGCGGCGGCAGAGGCCGGCGGCGGCAGCCGTGGCCGGCGAGGTTAACGCGGCGCCCGCAGTGTGCGGCAGCGAGGGCCCGCGGGCCGCGCGGGCGGCCGGCGGCGGGCGGCGCCTCTCAGCGCGGGGCTGCCGCAAGCCAGGCACAGCAGCAGCGGCCCGCCGGCGGCGCCGCCCGCGTCGTTGCCCTCCTGTGGGGCGGTCGCTCGCCTGGTCGCCGCCCGCCGGCG